TTCATAAGTATGACGATCTAATGAAGCTAAACATAAGAAACATTTTACTTAGGTTTCCACATCTATAAAATACTACCTATAATATGAAGTGTGATGCCAAAGAAGTTTGATGTATGAAATATATGAGGTTTGATGTCAAAGAAGTTTGATGCATGAAGTATATGAAGTTTGATGTATGAAGTTTGATATCAACGTATTTATAAGAAGTGTATTCATTCAGGAGACGTTATTACACGACGATGACTAAGAATAACGTAACTGTAAATGATCCTGAATTTTTAACTTACTTCCACCAATATTTATTAATATATCAGCAATTCTGAACGCCTCAAATTCTTTTTCTTCTCGGTACATCGAGAAGAAGCCACCTTCTTCTTCAAAATGGGTAACTCGAAGTTCAGTGATCGCCCCACCTTTTGAACAGCTCGCACACCCATCCAAAAGAATTAACTTTCCTTTAAATTGCTTTAATATTATTTAAATATTATTATTAGTATTATTATTAGATTTGTGATTTTTATGCATTAAAAAATGCAAAATAGTATGCACAAAAATATGCAAGAAATTACTTAAGAAAAATACGATTTCTACCTAGAAATTTACATTTTTTAGTCAAAAACATTCAAAACGTATTTTCTTAAGATAATTTGATTTCTTTTTCGTAAATTTTTACAAAATTTACACAATTATGTCAGGATTTTGGGCAATTTTCTTGATATTTTCCCTAAAACCCTCAAAATTCGCATTAAAATTTGCATTTTTGTTCCATTATATGCAAATAGAATCCCCTATAAAGTTTTCAAACCAAGCGGAAACTCTTTTTTGTGCATTATACATGTGCATTTGCATAAAAATCACAACTTTAATTATTATACTTATTTACTATTATATTTATCATTCTTTGGGGCATTCAGAGGCTTCTGATCTTCATAGAAATTGGTCTGAAATGAAAATTTTATGTTTTGACTGCTATTAAATAGTCTGTCTTATTCATTAGAGATGTCCAAGACTGAAAATTTTTCAAGACTCAAGACCAAGACAACACCCCAAGACCCAAGACGACCCCAAAACTCAGATCAGAAGTTTACTAGACGCCAAAAATTTTTTGGTCCCATAGGACAACTTTTTGTTTTATTTTTTGTGACTTGGATATAAGCACCTATATTTTTAAAAATTTAAAGATAAATTTAAAAATATTAATAAGCTAAATATTCAAAACGCATAGAAAATACTGCGATTATGGAGCCGAAATTTCGGCTTTTATCAAAAATATATAATCCTTGTTATCGGGAGTACCGAAATGTTCCGATACTGACAAGTACCGAAATTTCCAAAATCTGTTTGGGCCGGTTCCTGTATCGGTAGTCCGTAAAATACCGACTTGTTATTTTCGGGAGTAAACTGTGCCGAACACTATGTTGACCACAGGGCAGGTTTGTGAGAATGTCATACATATTATTATTTTATTTTTTTATTAATTTTTATTTTATTTTTCTTTATTATTTTTATATTTTTTTATTATTTTTATTATATTTTTAAGATTAATTTTAATAATTTATATACCATTGCGCAACGTTTTATCTGGTTGAAGTACTCATTACCGCAAACAGGCATCTAAAAATTTATAAGTTAGCATTACTTATAGATTAAAATACCGTTGCCAATTTAAAAAATTCATTTTCATTATCCGTATCATAGTTTGGGAAGATAAAAGCCGAAGGGATTTTGCCGTTAAACACACAACCACAGTACTTATAATCTGTATATTTCTTGCAAAAATATCCAGATTCCTTCTTAGAAGACTTTTCAAATTCTTCTTTAAATCTTATATGGCTCGGCTTGTTAGCACTAGATGCCAACTAAATTAAAAAATAATTTTTTAAATAAAAGTTCAGTAAAAGATTTCCGGAACAGTAGTTTAACCTGAAACCTTGCAGGTTCTGCTTTTAGATACCGTATTTTTTATAATAGTACTCCCGGAGTAATATTTTTTAACCTTCATCCAAAGTGGAGTATTATTTAAGGGGGAGTGCTAATTCAGGGATAGAACTATTTCAGGAAATACGGTAAATTAACAATTTCTAGATTCAGATCCTTAACCCTAACCAACTCCTGTTTTTAATTTCTAATATCCAATGGATCCATAAATAGATTGATTTTAACAAGTGATACAATATAACTTTCCAAATTTCTTTTTAAATTAAAAACAATTTGTTTGTAAATTAAAAACAATAAAGCTCCTTAGTTTAAATTTTGACAGTCTTTTAAAATGGAACTTAATTTAAACGGAGGTTTTATTTCAAAAATTATGTTAATTTAATTGTTTAAGTTTATTAATTTAAATTAATTATTTTACCATTAACACAAAAAACTCCAAAACCGCGATAAAATAATTATTAAAATTCATTTTAAAATTTTTAATTCTAAAAATTTGAAATAAAAATAAATTTCATTTTAGTAAAAATAATAAAAAGTAAAAATAAAATTTAATTTTTCAATTTTCCCAGTATTTATAAAATATTTGAAAATTATCGTTGGTTATGATGACTATCAACGTTTAAATTTAATTTTATTAAAATATCAGTAATGTGAAAAATTTTTTAAATAAAGTATGATTAATATGTAGTAATAATTTTTATTACTTAAATTTAAAATCTAACTAAATATGTAGCTGTGGATTTTACATATTATTACGATACTCTTTGGACCACTTTTGAGCTCAAATAAGAACGAAAACGTCGTTGGAGGGGACGCAAAACTGAATATAAATCCTTTAAATTTTAAAAATATTTCAGACCCAATTCCACTTTTAGTAAAATTCGATTTGTAATTGAGAAAAATTGTATTATACGGTAGTTCTTCAATTTGAGATCTCTTATCTCCACATTGTTGACTAATACGATCGGCCTAAGAAAAGCTGCCAGAGAATTAAATTTGATTATTTTTATTTTACATAAAAAGAAAATTTATAAAAAATCTTTAAACTCAAGTAGCAAATTTACCACAATTTTATTATAAATTAAAAAATTTTAAACAAAAATTCATAGCCCTTTTAAAAATTTTTTTAGTTTTTTATATAATTTTTCAATATCGAATAATTATTGACAACAAAATGTAAAAGGAGACAATGTCAAATTTATTATGTTTTATGTGAACAATTTGAAGCGACGATTAAGAAATCGGTTTCAGAATATCAGTTTTAAAAAGTTTTTAATTGTTTTTATTAATTGTTTATTAATCAATTCGTACATATTCTTTATTTCATCAGAAATTTTTATTTATAAACAATTTTTCACAAATTTATTTTTTAAATTTTTATTTAATTATTTGTTATAAACTCTTTTCCAGTAATTACGCCATAAACCACTGAGCTAGAGGCCAATGACAAGGTGACTAAATACCCCTATAAGGCTACAACCACTGAACAACCGGGCCGACAACTAACGTTTCTCTTTTCTCCTTAAGATCATCTGACTCCCACTTACGCATTTAAAATACATCTAGGTAAAGTATCATTAAAATATTCTCAACTATCAGCTTTAATTTTATTTTTGCTCTTCCATTTGGACCTCAATAAAGTGCACAGTGATTACTCCGCGTTCTTAACATCTGCCCAAAGGAATTAAAATTTGTCAAAAGTTGTTTAACAATTTTTGAAATATTTATGTATTTATTTATTTCCGTACTTAACATCCTTGAGTAGATTTAGAGGTTTTTTATTGCCAAAATCTTTTCTAAAATAATTGCCATTATATAATCTCATTCGTTATTTTATTAAAAATAATCAAAAGTTTTTTGTCTGGAACCTAAATAATTATTTCAACCATAATCAAATAAAAAGTACAAATTTCTAACAAATTTCAGAAAATTCTCTCTTATAATTGTACTTTTTACTTAAACAATTTTTTGTCCCAAATAAATAATTAATTTTTTTCCTTATTTTATTTAAACAGACAGGTAAATTTTGGAATATAAAATAAGGGAAATTATAAATTATTATCATAAAAGTGCATTAATAGTTTAATTACCTCCCTATAATATAGTAAAGCGGCAAAACTCATCTCAGAAAATAGCAAATGTTTCTAACCTTTCAGCTATTCTCCACAGATGAGTTTTTGAAGTAAATTTTATACTAGGCTAAATGTGTAGCAGGGGTGGGCCGGAATACCAATTTCCGGCGTCAGATTTCCGGTGTAATTTTCTTCCGATTTCCGAATAAAAATTTTGATTTCCGATTTCCGACTTTTGAGCCAGTTCCGATTTCCGGCTCTTCTGATTTCCGACACCTCTGATTGTTCCGACCCACCTCTGATAAGCAGGTCAAGAAATAATATTTTTTTAATATTTTTACCTCATTACAAACGGAACTCGTATGTATAATATCGACATAATTGTAATTTCACCCTCAAATTAACATCAAATTTTTGTGTAGTAATTCTAGTCAGCTGTAGCTTATCTGAACTTTTATTCACTCTCAATTTAATGTCTGATTTAATTAATTTAATACTGTTAATTTACTGTCATTTATTATAGATTAAAAAATGATTTTTATAATTAGCTTTATTTTTAAATTTGTTTTGTTTTCTGCTTTTTGGCTTTTAAGCGAAGCATGGCCTAAAGCAAGAAATGACATAATTGTATGTTTTAAGAAATTAAATCTGAATTTAGTTACTCTCTGTTAAATAATTATACGCACCCTAAGTTTTTCAGATTGATAAACGTAGATTCCGCTAATTAACTGTCAGGCCTTAAAAAATTTTAGTCCCTCTAAAGCCAACTTTTGAAGATAAGAAAATGAAAGTTCTTTCTTCTTGGCCCTCCAACATTCAAAATTTTTTCATACGGTCTAATATGAGGAATATTAGCTTGATATGGGATTGCCTCCTCGAAAATTACAGCCTAAAATACTCTCCATCAGCCGACAATCCTCCTTAGTCTAATAAAAAAATTCGGTTCACCAACCATAGTCCAAATTGAATTTTGACTGAAATCGAATTTAAATGCCGAAAATTTTATATTTAATTAAAATTCATAAAATACAGTTAACTACAACAAAAATGGTCGAAGAATCTTTTGACTGTGAATTTGACCGTTATATTCCTGATCCAAGTAAACTTGGAGATGGAAGTCAAAGAGAGGGGCAAAAACGAGTTTTTGAATTAAAAGATGGCGCAACACTGTCAAATTGTATAATTGGGATAAAAGCTGGCGCTAAAGGCTCTGCTGACGGAATTAGATGTATGGGCAGCTGTAATATAAACAATGTTTGGTCTGAGGCTGTCGGGGAAGACGCTATTACTTTTTATGGTAAAAAATTTTAATCTCTATAGAGGCTCGATCTTAAAGGAATTGCGCAAATATTGAGGTTTAGATTAGAAAGCTACTCCTAAGGCATAACCAAGGCTTACGAAGTTATCGGTACTAGATCGTGACTATTGACTTTTTAAACTAGTGTAGCACCCGTCTCCCTAAACCCCGCCCCCGGACCCGACCTGCGACGAATTTTTAGTCTAAAACCCCGATCCGAACACCAAAGGCTCTACCCCGGCAACTCCCGTTCCCTGACGATCCCGCACCCGAAGACTCGGAGTGCTACTCTATTTAGTGACAAATAAAACGTTTTCTTAAATTAAGGTAAAAATAAAAATTCAATTTATCGCGTAAATGGCGGTGGTGCCCGAAATGCAAAAGATAAAGTTTTTCAATTTGATGGAATGGGAACTGCATTTATTGAAGATTATTATGTAAAAAATATTTTTTAAGAAAATTTTTTTGCTATAAAAGGTAGAAAATTATGTCCGCCTATTTCGTTGTTGTGGAAATTGTAAAACACAATATCAACGTCATGTAGTCATTTCTAATCTGACAGCAATTAATGGCACTCCTGGCCAATTTATTGTCGGAATAAATTCAAATTATGGAGATACTGCCAAATTAAGTGGAATTAAATATAACACTCCTGGTGTTCATATTTGTAAACGTTTTAACGGGGTTACTGGTGGTGAGGCAAAATCTAGCGGAACTGGGCCTGATGGAAAGAATTGTCTGTATAATGAGAAAGATGTTACTTTAATTAAAAAATAAAAATAGAAGGATAGTTTATATGTTATAAATAACAGAGGTGGGTCGGAACAGCCAGAGGTGTCGGAAATCGGAAGAGCCGGAAATCGGAACTGACTCGAAAGTCGGAAATCGGAAATCAAATTTTTTTTGGAACTCGGAAGGAAAAAACGTCGGAAATCGGAAATTGGAATCCGACCCACCTATGATACATAGTACATATTTTACACTAGATAATTGTTGTTATTTTGTATATTTTGCATAAAATGCCTGTTTGGTATATCCAGGCTTGTCTGAAATTTGATTAAGCTAATGAGCACAAGAATAACAGTTTACTTATGCATAAAGTTGTGATAGTATAGCTATATTTTGTAAATTTATGTTAATAATACTAATCCAACCGATTTTCTTAATAAACATTCCTAAACATGCAAACATATTTCATTCAATATTTCTTTCCCAACACTATCCTAACCATCGTTCCCCAAATTATCCTAAATGTTCACCTTGGATCTATCCTTAATCCGTCACAATTTTTAAGGTTTTAAACAAAGAATGAACAATAAATGATGGAGTTGAACAAAATTGGGTTAAGTTTGTATTTCCCAGTTATCCCCAAATTTATCAATTTCGAGCTGTCGTTACTAATATTCTATAGCATCAGAAACTTATCTAGCTTATATTTTAGATATGAAATGATGTTTTAATAGATCTATTATTACAGTACATACAGTATAACCTGTATTAATTTCCCTCCCTCAAATAATTACCCCATTTCCATTAATTACCCCATAGAGCGATAGATTGAAACAATGGTATCACGACTTTTGCGCCGAGAACATTTGCGCCGCGACTTATGCGCCGCGACTTTTGCGCCGGGCGACTTTTGCGCCGCGACTTTTGCGCCGGGCGACTTTTGCGCCGCGACATTTGCGCCGCCATTATTTTAAAAAAATAAAATAATGACTACAATCGGACGTAACTATAGTGTAGCCATTGGGGTTAAAAAATGGTATCCAGGAACTGAGGGAAGTTCAGGAATTAGGTCTTGGCCTTGGAAACCCCCGGATCCGATATCGCAAATGATTTATGATGTGCTGACTTTTCGGATTAGGATATTTGGATCTCTAACCCTATTCCGCATGATTTTAAGAACTAAGAGGGTACATTATAGCGTAGGGTGTCGGATCCGGATCCGAAAAAGGCATGATATCCCGGATCCGGATATCCGAAGATTTCCAACTATTCGACAACCCTACTATATTGAGGGCCGGCTATATTTATTCATATTTTTTAAATGATATTGGCGGCGCAAAAGTCGCCCGGCGCAAAAGTCGCGGCGCAAAAGTCGCCCGGCGCATAAGTCGCGGCGCAAAAGTCGCTCGGCGCATAAGTCGCGGCGCAAAAGTCGCGGCGCAAGAGTCGCGGCGCAAATGTTCTCGGCGCAAAAGTCACGGAACCGAAACAATAATTACCCCTAAATAAATGAAATAAATCACGTTAAAATTTCAAACTTCATATAATTACTCACCCTCGATTAATTATCCCTCCAACGGAAGGTCGAAACAATAATTACCCAGGGTAGTTATTAAAGGATATACATATGTATACTAATAGAATTGAGCCTAATTCCATGCAGAGGAAGCCAGGCATGTCCACTGTCGTAAAGATGGATTATGTTACCTGGGTTTTGCGAAGCTGGACTTTGTCTATCAATAAAAAAATAGTAGCAAATCTAAATAGCTAATTTATCTTTATAAATAAAAAATATCTACTTTTTAAATTTAAAAAACTACAATTTAAAAATAAAATTTAAAAAAAAGAATAGAGAGCGAAATTTATGAATTTAACGCCCGTTAACGAGTTAACCAAAAATTTTGACAATGATTTTTATATAGGTCAAGTTTACTCGACGATTTTTTGATAAAATTAAATTCCTCTCTCTATTTAGTAATAAAATTGAATTTTTATATAATACCAAATTAGATAAGACCCCAGTAAAATAACCTTGAAAATTTTAACTACGGTTGTTCACTACCGGTTATTAACTGATACCCCGTATTTTCGTTAATCCAAATTTTAAAATTCGGTTATCGGTTTTGAGTTTTAACAAATACCGGTTTTATTTTGGGGGAATTTTTTAAGAAATCACACATTTACATTAGTCTAAATTTTGTAAAAACGGTTAATTTTTGGCAAAAAATAACAAAATTTCCGGGTTTAAAACCGGTCGTGAACAACCAACCACAAAAATAACTAATTAAATCAAAACACTTGGTGCTCTTTTGCACCGACCGGAGCTAGATCTCTGTGCTTTGCCGAATTTAAAAAATACCTACAAAAATTAAATAATAATAACCCAGCCCCGATAACAACCCAAAAATATGAAAAAGATAATTTTTAGATGCTTAACAATAATAATTTTTTCGTTATAATGTTCATTGGTTAACTATAACTTTCAGGAGAAATAAGACAATGAAGAAAAGTAAAATAGTAAAATTTGGAAATATAACGGTATATGGATCATTCCACATATGCTTTTCTCAATATGTAAAAACTGAAGGGCCAACCCAGGTTTCTAAACATGAATTAATGATCAGCCCAAAATAAATGAATGGAAATCTAAAATTTTTAGATAATACCTACAATTAGTAATATCCCCTAGAAAAAATTGAAGTGAGAAAAATAAAGGTACACAAAGATAACCGAATTGAAAATGTTATGTTCAGTGAATAAAACAAAAAGATTATCGTTAACCCTAGAAGAAGTTTTACTAGAAACGATTCCAATCCCCTGGATTTTGTTGATACACGGGATTTTGAAAAGAAGGCGGATCCGCATGATCGTTCAAATGGTCACCCGACATTGTATTTTGACTTTGATCACTTTGTATTTGATGTAAATCATGTGGATGAGGAAAAGGTGGATCCCAAGGGTGATGCAACGGATAACCCCACGTTGTACTTTGACTCTGCCCACTTTGAATCTGATGAAAACTATGTTGACCTAAAATAAGAATTTTATGTAATTTATTTTAAATGTGTGTATTTATGTACCTCCAAAATGCTCATCATGTGTTGTAGATGATGAGGGATTATAGATACAATCCCATGTACCAGAAGGATTTTGTTGAATAGGGGTGTTATGTTGATCAGAATGATCATAACCCGAAGGGTTTGGCCAACGACCATGACTTGAAGGATAATGTTCATTTTCATCAAATGGATGATTCCAAGGATCCTGACTTGAAGACGGATTCCATGCATGGATCATCTGATTAGTCCACATTGTATCTTGACCTTGCCACCCATGCATATGATGAAAATCCTGTTGATCTTAAATATTGAATCATAAATAAATTATGATTATCGTTGCTCATAATTACCTCTATAATGAGGATACTGTGACGATGATGGTTGTTCGGTCATTTGATGAATACCTTGATTTTTATAATATGGAAATGATTAAATTAAAATGTTTAAAAAAATGAATGTTTAAAAAAGAACATGAATTTAGAAAAGAGTATCATGCATAATCAAGAATGGAAGAATTTGTTAGAAAATCACTTCTTTATTACCCCAAGGTATAGTTATGCGCTGGACCTTCCCGGTCCAGGCACCTTCAGAGCGCCGTATGTGATTGGGGAATTTTGGGTTGGGGGTGGCGCAGAGGACTTTGTAAATAATAAAAGACTAATTCATTAATATTTATTTCATTTAAAATAATTTAAATGGTAGTGTTTTTAATAATGGCTGGGGGAAATGATATGGACATTGATATTGGGATTGAATAATAAAACTGAAGATATAATAAGGATAATCGTAGTGGTTAAATATAAGGAAAAGGGGTGGGATATGACAAAGTTGGTAAGGCAATGTGTCTGGGAAAAGCGAGAGGAATTGAATAAAATGTAATTGTGATTGATAAGTGGGAAAGGAAGAGATGAATAATAAGTGTAACAAATATAGATTTAGAGGGAGGATAAGCTGGGAAAGAATAAAACTTGGATAAATATAAACAGCTATGGGAAATATGATCGGGGTCGGGACTTGATGAAAGGGCAAGTATCGAGTCTCGAGTCCGGGGGTAACATCTCCCTGCCGCCAATAAGCGCGACCCTGCGCTTACGTATTGTTTTAATATTTTGAGGAATGGGGGATTTGGTCTTTAATGGTGAGTTTAATTCGCCGTTAATAGAAGGGATTTTTAGGTGGCTGTTTATTTGGGGGAGATCAAATGGTGTCTTACTTATTTCAGCACCGTTTGATGTTTAATGGGTGGGAATTTTTAAAGTTTTCTAAAACTGTTTTATTTCCCCCATGGTTTAAAGACTCGATACTTTTGAATATTGATAGAAGTGAGTGGATCTGAGTTGATAATATACAATAGATTTGATAGAACGATAAAATTTGAAATATTTGAATAAAATCATAAAATTTTGAATGGTTTTATTTCATATTTTCTTCCTTTGATTGGATTTCTCGATCAACTATTGCACTTCGCATGTTCAGTTCATCGAAAGTTCATCCATTTGACATTCTCCAACATGTTGAGTTAATCCGAGTAATGCGCGAACTCATTAAGTGTAGTTGATGTTGAAGACGTAGTTAATAAAGTAAGAATAGATTTAGTTGAATAATATTTAGTCGACTAATAGAATTTTGTCGGATTTCGTGAGTTTTTTTTTGGAATAATAAGAGGAGGTTTTTGAAGTGAAAAATTGGAAACTCATTGGAAAATGTGATTGGAAATTGGAAACTCATTGGAAAATGTGATTGGAAATTGGAAACTCATTATCTCAAGGTTAATCCTTTAGATAATTCGTATTGGTGATTATTATTGTTTTTACCAAGATCTCCATTGATTTATTGTATCGATGGGATTGATTGATTTTTAATAGGATTTATTTTATGACTTTTCACTAATATTTGGAAATTATTGAGTGAATTAATGTTTTATGTATTTGATGGTAGGCTGGGAGATTTTTTTGATTAACAGGGGTTCGGGCTTTACTAAACACCATTTAGATAGAGAATTATCTTATCTTTCTAATGGCATAATTGGATTTGTTAGGAGGTAGAGATGTCAGAATTTGACGGAGTTTGAAGGTTATGCGGAAATATGTGTTTAGGGATGGTCTGGTTTTTTACTTTTATTTGTAGTTAGGATATTGGAAAACTGGCGTGCCATTTTATAAAGCAAAAATTACTTTATTGAATGGTTTATATGGATTTGATAGTAGGTGGATGTTTTAGGATAGATGGATTTTGAAAGGGAGGTGTAGGTTTGGGATAACAGGGATGTTTAGGGTTGGGATAAGCTCGCAATTAGATTAATTTCAAAATTAATTTAATGGAATATTTTAATGGAATTATGGATCTTTAAGAGAAATTTTGGAATTTGGTTTTGGAAGTGAAATAGATGGATTGGAGAAGGATAAAAGGTATTATTTGCAAATGTAGGGAAATAAGAATTTAGGATTTTATTCTGATGTTAATTTAATTAACGTCAGCCAAATCTGTTTAATTAGGAGATAAAAGGATAAAGGGATTGTTTAGGATAAAGGGATTGTTTAAAAGGATTAAAGGGTTTTTGCTGGGATAAAGGGATTTGTTGGAATTTCAAGGGGAGAGTGAAATAAACTAAGTTAGAGAATTATCATATTCGGGGATAATTATCAATTAATATTAATTCGGATTAATACTAACGATGTGTTTCATTTGAAAATTAATTGTGGGGTTTGAATTTTTGAATTAAGGAAAAAGGAATGATACTACTGATCTTTAATTGTATATTTTTCTGGGATAATTTTTAGGATTAGTGTCGCTGTCTAAAGATTGTGCCTGAGAATGTAGTTACTAGGAACTGTTAATGTAAACGGACAAATTATTCTAGTTAGCGCGCCATAGGAAGGATTGTAGTTTATTTAAAGGATATATTGGATTATTTTATCTAAAGGGCCGCTAAGGATTATTAATAAAGAAAGGAGCTTCTCAGGCTTTTGTAAAAATGGACATTTTTAATGAATGCGACCTTATATTAAATGGACTCTGTTGTATATTAAATGGACTCTGTATCTTTCCTTTTTGTGTAAAGTAAAAATGGAATAAATTGGAAAAATTTTGAAGATTTTCGGTTCACTTTCATTTTATATTTAATGAAAGGGAAGTAGCGTTTAGTATTGATTTGTACGGGGTTTTTGGTGGAGATTAAGTTGGAAGATAAATTTTGTCCCAAATTATGTAATAGGGGGGATTTATTGTTAAAAATTTCAAAAATGGTGGCTCGAATCCTCCGTTAATGAAAATTCAACACTTATAATTTGTAAAAAAAAAATTTTAAAATTTTAGAAATTTAGAATTAAAAAAAATTTAAAAATTAAATTTTGTGAGGGAGTTATTTTTATTATCATGAGGGATAAGAATAAATGGGTAGGGAAAAGTTTTTATAAAAATTGGTTAAAAATATGGATCTGATGAAAAATGGTAAGGAAATTCCAGTTAAGTAGGATAGTGATAGATTAATAGGGGATTAATATTGGTGCCTTTCGATGCCAATATTATATTTTGTAAAGGCTGTTGTTGGATACAAATTTTTAGTCTTTAATTATTAATGGTATTCTTATTTTGGAATTTCAAAAATGGAAGTCGGATCCTCCATTAATGAAAGTTCAAATTTTGAGGATAGGAAAGAAGGTAATAGAAAAATAAAAACTTATCTTTTCTAATGGATGGTGTTGATTTATTTGTTGAGTGGAAGAGGTGAATGCAGATACTGGGAGATGAGTGAAAGAAATAAACTTCATAAAATTAAGAATTTTAATTGAAGATGAATTATTAATTTGATGATGTTGTCTGTTGTAGAATGAGTGGGAATGGATGGAATGGGGATGGGAATATTGTGGTGGGAATGGGAATAATGGGAATGAAAATATGTAATAAATTAGATGCAAGTGGAAAAGGAAAGGAGAATGATAAAATATTTCGTTTAGACAAAGACATTGGTGTCTTTGAAGACATTGGTGTTTTTTTTTTGAAGACATTGGTGTCTTTGTCTGTGACGCCAATGTTTAAGGGATCATGAAATAATGGAATTTGTAATTTATGATATTCTATGGGGGTTAGGAAACAATTGTACTAAGAAAATAATTCATCCTAATATATAGGATGAAGATGTGTTTTTATTTTTTTGGTGGGAAAGAGTTGGGAATAAGAGTTAAAAATTTATCAAATGGAAAGGGTAGTGGAAAACAAGAGCTTGTCGAAAGAGAGAGTCAAATCCGGAGAGAAAGCTAAGCTCGGGGACGGAAACTGGTAATATAATAAAATGAAATTTTCCGAATGGGAAGTGAGCTATATCCGAAAGAGGAAAAATTGTGGGAAATACGGCTAAAAGAAAATTGATTGAGTGGGAGAGTGGGAGATTGAGCGGGGAGTTTTCTTTTTGTCTGACTAATAGGACAGAAGGAGAAGAGAAATCATTGGTGTTTTTCTCTAACGCCAATGCTGGAAGGTTTGGATTTGCAAAAAATGGGGCATTATGAAGGAGAATTAATTGAAAAGTATTAATTCTATTGTACCATATTGAAATAAAGGGGATGAAAGGACTAAGGGGAGGAGGTGAAAAGTCCATCCTGATAGGATAGATTAGTGTTTTTAGGGGAGAAGAGAGGAGATGGGAAGAAATAATTTGGTTTAATGGGAGGGGGACCATCGCCAGAGAGAAATTGAAACAATAGGAAAGTAATGGGGCCATTGGTGTTTTTCAACGCCAACGTTGGAGTGCAGGATAAAGTTAGGGAATTAATTGTTATTGGAAATTAAGCTAAAAGAATTATTCATCCTACTAGGATGAAAATTAATTTAAATTTTTAAGGGGGAAGAGAATGTAAGGCAAATTGTAAATATATTGAATAAAAGAAAGTGGGGAAAAATCAGCGGAAACTATGGGGCAAAGAATGGAAAGAAAAATATGTTATTCAGATAGGTTTGGCGAAGACAAAGCATTGGTGTTTTTTCTAACACAAATGTTTTTTATATGTTTGACTGAGAAAGGGACATATGAAGATATTATTGGAAAAATACTAAATATATTGTAAAAATTTAATTATTGAAAAATTTCATCTTTATAGAATGAAAAATTGTTTTTATTTTTTGTTGGGAAAGAAGAGGGAATGGGATTGAAAAAATATTAAATTGAAGAGGAAATGGGGGAAGTCAAAAATTAGTATTAACTTATGTGACAATGAAGGGAAGGAAAAAATATGTGTCTTTTAGATAGGTGTAGGGAAATTGGAGAAAACAAAGCATTGGTGTTTTTTATAACACCAATGCTTTGCGGACTGTTTGGCTTGGGAAAAGTAGGGACTTAGTAAAGAAATTGACGGAAAAATTGTAAATGGAAATTTTATGAGTGTATGGAGAATCGACAAAGTGTTTTTGTAAAAGGAAGAGGGGGAATAATAGACAAAGGGTTTTAAAAATTGGTATGGGAAGGAAGCCATATCTTGAGGGGGAAATTAAACTGAGAGATCGGAAAATGATGATAAAAAAAGGGCTGGAAGGGGAACCATAGCCAGAGGGGGAAAATAGAACCATCCGGTGCTACCAGTTATGCGCTGGACCTTCCCGGTCCAGGCACCTTCAGAGCGCCGTATGTGATTGGGGAATTTTGGGTTGGGGGTGGCGCAGAGGACTTTGTAAATAATAAAAGACTAATTCATTAATATTTATTTCATTTAAAATAATTTAAATGGTAGTGTTTTTAATAATGGCTGGGGGAAATGATATGGACATTGATATTGGGATTGAATAATAAAACTGAAGATATAATAAGGATAATCGTAGTGGTTAAATATAAGGAAAAGGGGTGGGATATGACAAAGTTGGTAAGGCAATGTGTCTGGGAAAAGCGAGAGGAATTGAATAAAATGTAATTGTGATTGATAAGTGGGAAAGGAAGAGATGAATAATAAGTGTAACAAATATAGATTTAGAGGGAGGATAAGCTGGGAAAGAATAAAACTTGGATAAATATAAACAGCTATGGGAAATATGATCGGGGTCGGGACTTGATGAAAGGGCAAGTATCGAGTCTCGAGTCCGGGGGTAACAGTATATTCTGCCAGCTTTTTATGAATAGACTTACCAGAATAGGCTTCAGGAACAAAATCGGCTTCAGGAACAAAATCGGCTTCAGGAACATTGGCTTCGGGAACAAAATCGGCTTCAGGAACATGTTCACTAATATGTTCAATTTCACGTGGATCTTCTGTATCATATCCACCTTCGTGTTCGGTAATTTCATTACCAATTTCTAATTGATTTAACGAATAGTTTCCTGGCTCAATCACATAATCAACATATTGGTTAATGTGCTTTTCAGGATGAAAGTACATGTCAAGATATGCATTATGGAATGTACAATCATAGTCTCTTGGGTCATTGTAACACTCAGTCCTGCAGTAGTAAACAAAACCGCGGATCTATAAAATATATATTTAGAGAAATATATTTTTACACAAAAAAGCATTCATTATTAAAGTGTGGCAAGTGAAGAAATCCTGTAAGGGATTTTACGGAATCCCATCTCGAATCCCGTATTTCTCTTTAAATCCCGGAACTTGACTTCTTTCTAAAGCAATTCCTTCTCCGAGAAGGAATAGAAATCTAGGCCGAGGTGGTTAATATTTCAAAGCTAGGGGTGGGCACCTCAAAACTCATTAATTGTTTTTCATCCCCAGTTTTTTCTCTATCATATTCAATTTGTATTTTGTTGCTATTTTGATTTAAAATAAAGTTACGGGTTAAAATAAGTAGGACATCCTTTTTGTGTCACCCTGTATAGAAATTCAACTAAAAATGCAATATTTCGAATGAGATCGTCGATATGACTGAGATTGTCGATAAGAATGAGATTGTCGACTCTCACCCTTTATTCCAACCCAAAAATCGTCACGAATTAAAAATTTCGTGAATGTCTTAGACAGAGTATTTACCTTTAATAATTCTTTAATTGATGTAATTGTTTGTTTGTTTTCATCAAATTTTATTTCATTTTTCAACTTGGTAAGTGCTATCTCTCTACATTCTTTATATAATGAACCAATTTGATAACCACGTCTGTTTTTCATTTCAAACAAACCAATTAAATAAATAATTGTTTCCTTTTCACGGAGTAGCGCTAATGCAACTTGTAAATTTTCTGTATTTCCTGGAAAAATTTTTTGAGAACAATTTAGTATTCATCATGCTTTTTCAGATAATCGCTTACTCCCTCTAACACGCAGAAAACACAAGTTGGGAAATATCGTACTTAAAATCCTTATTACCCCTACTACTAGAGCTGTCCGAGACCGAAATTTTTCCAAAACTCAAGACCCAAGACAAAATTTTTTCCAAGACCAAGACTCAAGACCAAGACCAAAACTCCAAGACTCAAGACCAAAAATAATACAAAACTCGAGACAATTTTTAGGTCCCATAGGTCAAATTTTTAGTTTATTTTTTGTTATTTTGACACGATCACAGTCACCTTCAGCAAAATCACCTATAATTTCGAAAAATTTATACGAAAAATTTTTTGAATTTTGGAGCTCAAGAAGCCAATAAAATTTCGGGGAATTTATTCGTGTGGAAAATCAATAAAATATATTATTTCAGAGGGTTTGGGTGGATTAACGGGATATTAGTGATATCAAAGGATTAAGAGGGATAGCCGTGGGATTTAGTGAATTATGAGGCTCGAGGAGCTCTTTCGAATGAGCTATTATTTGCATAATCGAATTTTTCACCCCAAAATTAAACTTACTCCCCCCTATGGTTTTTCAATTTTCCGCGACCTATAACTCGGTCCAGAATTATTTCCTAAAATAGGGAGTGGTACCGTTCGTCTCAGCTCCTTCAGCAAAATCACCTATAATTTCGAAAAATCTATGCGAAATTCAAAGAATTTTGGGGAATTTATCCGGGTGGAAAATCAATGAGATATATTATTTCAGAGGATTTGGGTGGATTAAGGGGATATTAGTCAGATAACTTCCTTTTTGGCGCCGCAGGCGAAAATTTTGAGAATTTTAGAAGGCCAGGTGGGAACCAAGACGAAAAAATAAACCCAAAACAAGACCAAAACAAACACCCCAAGACCAAGACCGAAAAAAAACCAAGAAAAGTCTTGGTTCCAAGACCAAGAGTCTCGGACAGCTCTACCTACTACAGTACCCCTTTCTCCAAACACGCATTTAAGAAAGTTCTAAAACTCCATAATTAAAGGGCTCTAAAAAAATTTATTTTTACCGGAATTATCAGCTTCATTCGTATTAAATATGTTATTATACTTGTTAAAATCCTGATGGTATATTCTGTTAAAATCATTAGAGTAATTCTGAATATCCTGAATTTTTAAAAATATTTTTAAACTAAAGATGATATTTGAGAATATTTAATTTCTATTTTTAGGTTAGTATAAGCCCTTAAAAATATTTGGCTCTGGTCTAGTTTAGTATTCGATGGAAGTAGTTTAGTCAATTTAATTTATGATCCAGGGAGGATTTCTGGTTCCGTTAAAAATTTTGTGTCCATTTACAGTTTATGAGTCCAATCAAGAATTTATTTGTCAAAACAAATAGTGCTGACCTCAATTGGGTATATTTTTGCCTTCTTAGCGTTAACGTACGTGGTTTACGAATTGTTTCCTCGGGGTTCGGGTCGGGGAAGCAAAATATGGTCGGGGTTTCGTTTACTTAAAAATTAAGAGGGATTTGGAGGAATTATAAGGGATATCTGAGACCATATTTATTTTAAATATTTATCGAAAGTTACTATGGCTCTATTACACAATAGACGTCCAATCAACTATTATGCGTCCAATCAACTTTTATACGTCCAATCAAAGTTTATACGTCCAATGAAAAGTTTATGCGTCCAATGAAAATTTATACGTCCAATCAAATTTTTATACGTCCAATCAAAAATTATGCGTCCAAATAAATTTTTATCTGTCCAGTAAAAAAAATAAATCCATAAAAAATAAAAATGATTTTTATTTATTATAACGCTTTACTCAAGAGCTAACAGAGATTCATTTAAAATAATTAAAGAAGCCAATTTAATGTGTGTCACTTATTACTGGCGGCGACTCACTCATTATTGGTCTCCCACCCATCAAGTAAACTCACTTCTGTTCAGGCCGAAACTAACATAATATCTCCTAATACTATCATGGATTATTATAAGTTTCTCCAAACCATGTCAGCGATGGGCACAAGAGTTCAAGTTAACACAATGCTAGGTCGCATGGTCGAAGTTGATGAGTCAAAATTGTAGAGAGAATGATAGAGGGAATATGTTAATGCGTCAATACGATTTAATGTTTGATATGGTCGAGTTAGTAACTAATAAAGTCCGTTCTTTCCATCTTGCTGATAGAACAGCTTATATATACACTTACCCAATTATAGCAAATAATGTAGCCGAAGGTACTAAGATTATTTCTGATAGATAAAAATGCGTTAGTATGTACAATTTTGATTGGACGCATAAACTTTTCATTGGACGCATAAATTTTTTATTGGACGCATAAATTTTTATTGGACGTATAAACTTTGATTGGACGTATAAAAGTTGATTGGACGCATAATAGTTATTTGGACGTATATTGTGTAATAGAGCCGTTACTATTTCCGATATCCTTTTAAATCTCAAAATTTTGATATTTTTATTCCCAAGTTAATAAATTACCTCATAAAATTTTTTAATG